AAGGAGCATATTTCATCACTGATGGGATTCTTTAAAAAGTACTTCCCTGAAAACAGTTCCCAATATGACTGGGTGAGAGATCATTTCAATGCACCAGCTCCAACTGGTTTCAGCTCTGCAGAGGAGGACCAGTTCATTGATATGACGTCTGACTCCACATTGAGACTGAGGTTCACATCACAGACACAGTGAATTCTGGCTGAGTGTAGAGAGGCAGTCTCCACTCTTTTGCAACATCTTATCTTTGTGAGACTGGCTTCTCTGCTGTTGCTGTACTGAAGACCAAGTACAGGTCCCAGCTAAACATTGAGCAGGAGCTGAGAGTTGCAGTATCATGCTTGGCCCCGTGTAGCTCAGTTGGAAGAGCATGGCGCTTGCAACGCCAGGGTTGTGGGTTCGTTTCCCACGGGGGGCCAGTATGAAAATGTATGCACCCACTAACTGTAAGTCGCTCTGGATAAGAGCGTCTGCTAAATGACTAAAATGTCAAATGTAAATGTAAATGTAATGCTTCAAACCCCGCTTCGAAAAGCTGTGCACTGCAAAATGTGCTCATTGTAGCCATTAATCCAGACTTCCTCATTTTTATAAAAAAAAAATCAGCACAAATTGTTTTATTCATTTTAGTTTTATAGGTCAAAGTGTTTCATATATTGTGCTCCTGAGTTAATGTTGCTGATCAATTTGAATTTATTATTATGTATTGATTATATTTAATTTAGTTTTTCAGTATCAAATGTTTTTTTAATTTTTTTACAGTTAATAAGGTTTGAAATTTTTATTTTATTTCAGGCAAATTGATGAACTTTAAGTATTTTCTGTTACAGACTAAAAACAATGTTAATAAAGTTATTCTTTGTTGTAAGTTGAACTATATTACTTTATTTTTTAGTTTTCTTTAATATTAATAAGGATACAATGTTATGCAGAGGTGTACTTATAACAATTTTATAGACAAATTATACTATTTACAGTCGCGGCGGAGAGTTGGGGGGCGCGAAATGTTTACTTCTTCCTAGGGGGGGCGTAACAGAAAATAATTGAGAAGCACTGCCTTAACGAGACCCTAATTAGTTCATGTGAACTGTCCCCGGTCCACATTTTCCCTTCTCTCACACGGTCCACCTTAACCCTTCTCTCACACGGTCCACATTTTCCCTTCTCTCACACGGTCCACCTTAACCCTTCTCTCACACGGTCCACCTTAACACTTCTCTCACACGGTCCACCTTAACCCTTCTCTCACACGGTCCACCTTAACCCTTCTCTCACACGGTCCACCTTAACCCTTCTCTCACACGGTCCACATTTTCCCTTCTCTCACACGGTCCACCTTAACCCTTCTCTCACACGGTCCACCTTAACACTTCTCTCACACGGTCCACCTTAACCCTTCTCTCACACGGTCCACCTTAACCCTTCTCTCACACGGTCCACCTTAACACTTCTCTCACACGGTCCACCTTAACACTTCTCTCACACGGTCCACCTTAACCCTTCTCTCACACGGTCCACCTTAACCCTTCTCTCACACGGTCCACCTTAACCCTTCTCTCACACGGTCCACCTTAACCCTTCTCTCACACGGTCCACCTTAACCCTTCACTCACACGGTCCACCTTAACCCTTCACTCACACGGTCCACCTTAACCCTTCTCTCACACGGTCCACCTTAACACTTCTCTCACACGGTCCACATTTACACTTCTCTCACACGGTCCACCTTAACACTTCTCTCACACGGTCCACCTTAACCCTTCTCTCACACGGTCCACCTTAACCCTTCTCTCACACGGTCCACCTTAACCCTTCTCTCACACGGTCCACCTTAACCCTTCTCTCACACGGTCCACCTTAACCCTTCTCTCACACGGTCCACCTTAACCCTTCACTCACACGGTCCACCTTAACCCTTCACTCACACGGTCCACCTTAACCCTTCTCTCACACGGTCCACCTTAACCCTTCTCTCACATGGTCCACCTTAACCCTTCTCTCACACGGTCCACCTTAACCCTTCTCTCACACGGTCCACCTTAACAGTTCTCTCACATGGTCCACCTTAACAGTTCTCTCAGGTGCGCTTGTTATTGTTTTCATTCTTCAGCTCCCAGTCTAGAACTGGCACGGCGCCAGGCCTGGACTGACTGACCAATCACGGGGCTCCAACGAAACAGGGTGCTTGGGACACGTTGGCCCACTGCCAGGAACCTTCCTGGGTGAGAGCATTACGTCACCGCCCCCGCAGGGAGGGAGGAGGCGCTCGATTGGGTGTCTGACGGGACGTCTATGTCAACAGTGGATCACGTGAAGCTGAAAATCACGAGAGAGAGCGAGAGAGAGAGAGCGCGCAACAGAGAGAGAGAGCGCAAGAGAGAGCAAGAGCGAGACACACGGGGAGAGAGAGAGAGACACACGGGGAGAGAGAGAGAGACACACGGGGAGAGAGAGAGAGACACACGGGGAGAGAGAGAGAGACACGGGGAGAGAGAGAGAGAGACACGGGGAGAGAGAGAGAGAGACACACGGGGAGAGAGAGAGAGAGACACACGGGGAGAGAGAGAGAGAGAGACACACGGGGAGAGAGAGAGAGACACACGGGGAGAGAGAGAGAGAGACACACGGGGAGAGAGAGAGAGACACACGGGGAGAGAGAGAGAGAGACACACGGGGAGAGAGAGAGAGACACACGGGGAGAGAGAGACACAGGGAGAGAGAGAGACACAGGGAGAGAGAGAGACACAGGGAGAGAGAGAGACACACGGGGAGAGAGGGACACACGGGGAGAGAGAGACACACGGGGAGAGAGAGACACACGGGGAGAGAGAGACACAGGGAGAAAAGAAAGCAGAGAGAGCGCAGGGCTAGAGAAGCTAGCAGCGGGGCCTGCCAGTGAAATTCTCTCTTTCTTCATGGATTTTTCTCCTCCACCCTGTCCACCCCTCCGTCCCGTCCACGCTCACAATAAAACAAGGTGGCAGCCTCAAGCTAAGTAATGCCTCCACCGCCTCAAGCTAAGTAATGCCTCCACCGCCTCAAGCTAAGTAATGCCTCTACCATATATAATCATGATGTAACCATCAACACCTCCATGTTGCATTTAAAAAACAACCACATTAATGAACTAACACTGACAACTCTGTATGGAAAATTCTATGCCTGTTCGATTACCTCCTTGGCAGCGTGTACAGCGAGTCCAGCTAGGAGTCAACGCAACACTCTGCCCCCCCCACCCCATGTAGAAATGCCAGCGTTTGATCATCCAAATCAATTACACACTGCCTCACATATAATTGGATGCCTACCAATTTGGCTTTGACCATTGTTATAAAGGGTGCAGAGGTCACCAAGGTTATCCCCCTAACATCCTGGTAATGTGTGTGTCTCTCTGTGTGTGTGTGTGTGTGTGTGTGTATGTATGTACAGTGAGGGAAAAAAGTATTTGATCCCCTGCTGATTTTGTAAGTTTGCCCACTGACAAAGAAATGATCCAGAAAAACGCATGTCAAAAATGTTATAAATTGATTTGCATTTTAAATGAGGGAAATAAGTATTTGACTCCCTCTCAATCAGAAAGATTTTTTAAAGGGAGTGCTCCTAATCTCAGCTTGTTACCTGTATAAAAGACACCTGTCCACAGAAGCAATCAATCAATCAGATTCCAAACTCTCCACCATGGCCAAGACCAAAGAGCTCTCCAAGGATGTCGGGGACAAGATTGTAGACCTACACAAGGCTGGAATGGGCTACAAGACCATCGCCAAGCAGCTTGGTGAGAAGGTGACAACAGTTGGTGCGATTATTCGCAAATGGAAGAAACAAAAGAACTGTCAATCTCCCTCGGCCTGGGGCTCCATGCAACATCTCACCTCGTGGAGTTGCAATGATCATGAGAACGGTGAGGAATCAGCCCAGAACTACACGGGAGGATCTTGTCAATGATCTCAAGGCAGCTGGGACCATAGTCACCAAGAAAATAATTGGTAACACACTACGCCGTGAAGGACTGAAATCCTGCAGCGCCCGCAAGGTCCCCCTGCTCAAGAAAGCACATATACATGCCCGTCTGAAGTTTGCCAATGAACATCTGAATGATTCAGAGGAGAACTCGGTGAAAGTGTTGTGGTCAGATGAGACCAAAATGGAGCTCTTTGGCATCAATTCAACTCGCCGTGTTTGGAGGAGGAGGAATGCTGCCTATGACCCCAAGAACACCATCCCCACCGTCAAACATGGAGGTGGAAACATTATGCTTTGGGGGTGGACAACTTCACCGCATCAAAGGGACGATGGACGGGGCCATGTACCGTGAAATCTTGGGTGAGAACCTCCTTCCCTCAGCCAGGGCATTGAAAATGGGTCGTGGGTGGGTATTCCAGCATAGTAATCCCATAGAAAATCTGTGGAGGGAGCTGAAGGTTCGAGTTGCCAAACGTCAGCCTCGAAACCTTAATGACTTGGAGAAGATCTGCAAAGAGGAGTGGGACAAAATCCCTCCTGAGATGTGTGCAAACCTGGTGGCCAACTACAAGAAACGTGTGTGCATGTCTCAGTGTCTGTCCATCCCACCCACACAATTCTGAAGTAGAATAGACACCTTCCCTGGTGCAATCTCAGCTGTCATTTACTCTCCAACCAAATCAATGGCAATAGTGAAATCAAAGTGTAGCCTTGAAACGGTCATTACGTCTACAGTGAGTCGAGCAGCCAGTTAAAAATGAAGACGTGTCTAGGTCCCAATGACACCCTGGACTAGTATGATGTACTTAGCTAACACTTTCTCCCAAGAAATGTGCAACTCTTGGGTCAAAGCTGGGGAACGGGAATTTGAGCGATTCAAAATGGATTCAAGAGATTTAATACCGCTAAGAGAATCAATATTGCCAAGTCAAGCTATCATAAACACCACCATCACAGCAAAATCGGCAGTGTAAACCAACCCAACAACTTGTTGCGTTACCCAACAACTACGTAACGTCAATGTTTGAGGCAACTTACTTTTTAAGGCCCCTCCCGCCGTCGCGCAGCCCTGGGCTCTTGGTGTCGTGGTCGTCGTCTTGGAAGTCCTCTTCGTGGTAGTCATCGTCCTTCTCCGAGCTGCCTCGGCGGTTGCGGATGTGCAGTGGCACGTAACCCGGCGTGGGGCCGAACACCATCAGGTCACCCTGGCCCAGGAAACTCCTCTCGCCACAGTAGCAGAAGGCACACAGCTTTTCACTGCAGGGGCCACATAGGAGACACACAGGGTAGTGTTCATTAGGCACCAAATTGAAGAAAATGGACTGAAAAGGGGAGTGACTTGTCGTTTTCTGTTGCAAAACGTTTCAAACACGACCCTGCTCTCTGTACCAGTTTTTCCCAAAACTGAAACCCAAATAAGTATTTTTGATGGGTGGGGGTTGTAGGGAAACACTGCGCTAAATACAAGCTCTACCTACGTACCAAAAGGGGTTGAAAACACCAATAAAAGACAGTATCGGTTGACAACATCCACACACTGAGCAGCCATATTCTTTCAATCTGATACACTGACATGCTGCCAACCTGTAAGGTAAATGCTGACAGCTAAAACAAACAAAAAAAGAATCCAAAAGGAATTAGAGAGATGCAGCCTATATTTAGATACTTATTTTGTAAAAATCAGGTTGTTAATAGGGCCCCTTTGCATGCTGTACTTTATTCCAAATCTATAACTACTGTTCCCTGAAGGAGGGAAACAAGGTACAACATACTATGGGGAGTCGCACTAGTGACTTTGGTAGAAAAATCTACAATCACGCCTGAAATCTACACCTCGCTGGAAGCCCCGCCTTCCACAGTTAATAAGCGTAAGGCTCAGTTTCATTCCTTCAATTTAATACTGCTCTTCACCGAGCCCAGGAACGGGCGGCACAGGGGCCACGTTTTCCTCCTTCAGGGAACAGTAGTAGTTATAGTCATAACGTTACGTTCCCTTTTAGCCAGTCAATTTCAGTACAACATACTATGGGGAAATATAATGACGCCCCAAGCCGACCCCAATGGATACTAAATGAAAACGGCCCATGCTGACCACCCAGACCTGACCCCGCCAGATGTGGCAGTCTGGGTATTGCACACGGCGCACTGCCTAGTTACTTTCGCCTGTCCCAGCCGTAAGCACCGTATGGGCTACACTGGGAGCAGTGACATCCAAGCGATAAAACCTTGGATGTCACTGACAAAAAGCATGTCACATAACCAGATATCCCAGGGTCCGTTCAATGTACGTGCGTAAAGCTCGCACCGAACACAGGGCATGGAACCTTGCTCTTCAGAAGCAAAAGGAGGCGAAAAGGGAAATAACTCAAAAGCTAAAGCCCTGTAGGACATAGCCATGACTTCTGGTGAAAAGGCCACATTTGGATGCAAAGTCACCTTAGAGTTGCCCAGGGTGAACAGAGTACCAGATAACGCAGCGGTCCCCAAAACATTTAGCCGAGGCCAAAGCCACGAGGGGCGGGAGGTTTTGTAGGAGAGGATCTTCAGATCCACCGACTCTAGAGGCTCAAAGGGGGCCGCACACAGTGCCTCCAAAACCCCCGCCAAGTCCCATGTGGGCGCAATAGGTTTAGAGACCGGTCTAAGACGACGTACACCTGTTAGGAACCGCACAACCAGGGGGTGGGCCCCAGGTGAGGCTCCATCAATTCCGACATATCACACTGAGATAGCGGCCATGTAAACTTTTAACTTGGAGAATGCCCGCCCCTGCTCGAAAAGCTCCTATAGGAACATAAGGATGTCCCTCACAGAGCACTGAAAAGGAACAAGTCCTTTATCTTGGCACCAGAGCTCAAACACTTGCCACTTATACGCAAATGGGAGTTGACACAGGTCCCTGCCTAAAAAGGCGAATGATCTCCGCAAACAAAGTCTGGGCCAACAGGGAGCCACAATAATCAATGATAAGCCCTCCCGGTGCGCCCTCTCCAATTTAGGATGAATCAGAACCACTAGCGGAAACACGGAAAGGAGGATCCAAGGCCACTAGTGCACCAGAGCGTCTGTTACCAATGGAGCACTCGGGTCACTCAGAGAAAAATAGACGACACTGGACCTTTCTCGCTATGCGTAAAGATCTACGTCGGCCCGGCTGAACATTTCCCATACCTGGGCCTCCACTCCTGAGAGGGTCACACCTGAATAAAATATCTTCACCTGAGTTGAGGCAACCGGGGCAATGCGTCGCCCAAAGCAAGAGCATGTGCACAGTGTTCCCCAGCAATAGGGAGTGAGCCAAATTTGGGAGGCAGAGAGAGTCTCTAACCCTCTATTAATGCATGCCACCACTGACATATTGCTGGTTCTGACCAGCAAAAGCCGGCCCGACAAAAGCATGGGGAAGTGCCTGAGCGCCAGATACACCGTTAGGAGCTCCGGGTAATTGATATGCAGTGCGCTCCGCACCAGTGTCCATACCCCCCAAATCGAGTTGCCTTCGTAGAGCGCACCCCATCCTCAGGGGATATGCGTCTGTCGTGATCACCTTGCAGGACACAACTCAGCCCATGGGAGCCCCCTGACAATAGCAGAGGGTCCCACCACTGGGCCATGGATATAAAACAGGAGAGATTATTTCACAGAAAGAGTTTTGTCTGAGATTAGTGTGACTAAAATTAGCTAAATGCTGCTCTCTCATGTCTCATCATTGAGCAGGCAAGCCAAAGTGGAGCCATTGCTATGGATCCTCACAGACCCAGAGCCCCCATGAGTAAGCGCTTGCAGAGCAAGCAGTGCGCAGGGAACGAATGACAGACAGAGAGGAGCAGCTAATGGATTTACTAACGGAGGAAGTTATTTCTGATTTCGGGCAGTGTCGGGCCTTAAATCTGGGTAGGGTAGGTCCTGAACGTCGTGGGCATGAGTAGGCCTCGGGCTTAAAATTCATGGCCGTGCAGGGCTCTAGTGTGTGTGTGTACGATGTGTGTGCATGTGCATGTCTGTATGCATGTGTGACTTCCTGCATCCCTCCACATGTTGCCGGGGCCTCTACTGTACACTAGCGGAAGCACAATCTCTACTAATTGGAACTAGAAAGAAAAAGCCATCTCGCTCTCTCTCCTAATTACAGTAGCAGCCCTGCAGTCTGCAGTCTGCCAGGCTACCACCGAGGGCCCCGAGACCTCTTTACCCAGCCTGCTTTTCCCCGCTACCCACAATCCCCAGCGCTTAATTATCTCTGCTGCTCGTTCCCCTCCCCCACCTCGCCTCACTACCTCCCCCGCTTACCTTCCCTGCACGCCTTCCCCTTCCCCGTCCTCCATCCCCACCATGGTGGCTCATTCGAGCGTGCAAGCACACACATCCTCTCATCCTTTACACTCCCTGAAAATACCCTCTCCATATTTCCTTTGCTTGTTCCCACTCTGTCTATCGCTCTCTCGCAACGCACACACTCCGCCTCCCTCTCGGCCCACACTCATTTTGTTGGGGGTGCAAAAACACCACCACTGTGTGTGCATTGAGACAGAAATATACACACGCCTTGCACTCCATCCACTGTTAACCACACACACACAGCTGTGACTCAGCATGTCAGAGTAATTTTCTCGCTCACCAATATCATTTATATTCCCCCCACTCTCCCTCCCTCTGAGAATTCTAGAATGTCAGTCTTACTCTCTCTGCCTCTCTTACTGGAATCTCATTTTCCCTTTCCCTGCCGCCATCTCCTGCTCTGCCTTATTCTGTCCATCTAGCACACACACACTTCTTTCTATGTCACTCTCTTCCCCTAATCACACTCCATCCCTACTCTACTCCAAACACACACCGTCTCCCCCTCTTACCGGACTTTGGCGTGCACCAGGGTCGAGGCGGAGGATCCTGCAGAGTCCTCCGACACGGAGCGCTGGAAGAGTGGTCTGTCGTCAATGGGGCTGGGCACGGGGCTGGGCACCATGATCTCCTCGACATCCAGGACCAGCTCCTTAACTTCTGTGGGAGAAAGAGGGGGTAGAGGTTACACTGTTATTTACTTAAAACATCTCATTAAAGCACTTTAGAATGTTTACTGACTAGAACAGACCATTTAGCCATTGGACGGCAGCAGTGTTCACTACCAAATGAGTTCAAACTAGCATAATCCAGGGTGACAGTGCGTGTGTCTTTGGTAACACAGTTGACATAGACAACAACACCTTTTCAGAATAAACCGGGTCTAGTTTCACTCAGGACTCTTTTAGGAACACATTGTCTGATTTTTTTTATTTATTGTGACACGATTTGTCACACTATGCAAACACGGAGCGCTTACAATTCCAAACCATTGTCTAAGACCAAAGAAAAACAGAGTTCTGCTGAACAGCAAAATGATTAGTCCTAACCCCTCACCTGCCAGTCAAAGGCTCAGCACAACTGGCACCTCTGGGTTGTGTTCATTAAGCACCAAAAGGAATAAAACTCACTGAGAGAACTACCTGGACTTGTCCAATAAGAAGTGCTCATTTTCCTGTTGCAAAACATTTAAAAACATTTTCCATTGCATGCCTTAATGAACATTACCCTGCAAACTTTTTCTCTGCTCTAGTGTTACCAAAAACAACACTGAGATTGTGTGGGCTTAGTGAATGCTTTGAGCTCTAGCAACCCTTTCAGTAGGAGAAGGGCTGTGAACTCCAGTCAATTAATCTGGAGGAAAAAAAAAAAATCACAAAAGCATTGCCGAAAATGTCACAACGCGTCCGGGCATAAAGAGATGACGTGACCTTTACCTTGACCTTTAAAGCGACAAAAATGTGGCACTCTTTCACTGAAGAGTTGCCCACACACCAGTTCAGGGGAAATAAAGGCAGGCCAAATAATTTAGAGTTTATAAACTTTACATCAATGGGACAGACCAATTACATTTATCAACAATGCCTACCACTGTTGGCGTGTATGGGCAACATTTGTTTGCTTTCTGGTAAATCAGTTGTGTAAGAATTGATACCTCGGCTAGTAACTACACTGTTACTTCTATTAAGATTTGTTGTTTCTATAGAGAAAGAGAACATATGCACATCCAATGACTTTGAGCAGGTGCTGGATATCAGATAATGTTCAGCAAATGATAAAAACTCCACACACTGCCATCTATGCTCCCATGTGGTTTATTAGGGATAAGGTTGATGAAGTGGTCAAAACATTGTCACTAATTAACCACACGAGAGCACAGACTGCAGAATGCACAGTCTCATTTTTAGCATTTGCGGATTGTTTTTCTACCAATTATAAAAGCCATACAACTTAAAACATCTAGCACAGTTAGTTGAAGTCGGAAGTTTACATGCACCTTAGCCAAATACATTTAAACTCAGTTTTTCACAATTCCTGACATTTAATCCTAGTAAAGACTCCCTGTCTTAGGTCAGTTAGGATCACCACTTTATTTTAAGAATGTGAAATGTCAGTAGAGAGAATTATATATTTCAGCTTTTATTTCTTTCATCACATTCCCAGTGGGTCAGAAGTTTACATACACTCAATTAGTATTTGGTAGCATTGCCTTTAAATTGTTTAAATTGGGTCAAACGTTTCTGGTAGCCTTCCACAAGCTTCCCACAATAAGTTGGGTGAATGGGTGGTCCTCTGTAGCTCAACTGGTAGAGCACGGCGCTTGTAACGCCAAGGTAGTGGGTTCGATCCCCGGGACCACCCATACACAAAAAAAAATGTATGCACGCACGACTGTAAGTCGCTTTGGATAAAAGCGTCTGCTAAATGGCATATTATTATTATTGGCCCATTCCTCCTGACAGAGCTGGTGTAACTGAGTCAGGTTTTTAGGCCTCCTTGCTCGCACACGCTTTTTAAGTTCTGCCCACACATTTTCTATAGGATTGAGGTCAGGGCTTTGTGATGGCCACTCCAATACCTTGACTTTGTTGTCCTTAAGCCATTTTGCCACAACTTTGGAAGTATGCTTGGGGTCATTGTCCATTTGGAAGACCCATTTGAGACCAAGCTTTAACTTCCTGACTGATGTCTTGAGATGTTGCTTCAATATATCCACATCATTTTCCTTCCTCATGATGCCATCTATTTTGTGAAGTGCACCAGTCCCTCCTGCAGCAAAGCACCCCCACAGCATCATGCTGCCACCCCCATGCTTCATGGTTGGGATGGTGTTATTTGGCTTGCAAGCCACCCCTTTATCCTCCAAACATAACGATGGTCATTATGGTCAAACAGTTCTATTTTTGTTTCATCAGACCAGAGGACATTTCTCAAAAAAGTACGATCTTTGTCCCCATGTGCAGTTGTAAACCGTAGTCTGGCTTTTTAATGGCGGTTTTGGAGCAGTGGCTTCTTCCTTGCTGAGCAGCCTTTCAGGTTATGTCGATATAGGACTCGTTTTACTGTGGATATAGATGCTTTTGTACCCGTTTCCTCCAGCATCTTCACAAGGTCCTTTGCTGTTGTTCGGGGATTGATTTGCACTTTTCGCACCAAGGTACGTTCATCTCTAGGAGACAGAACGCATCGCCTTCCTGAGCGGTATGATGGCTGCGTGGTCCCATGGTGTTTATAATTGCGTACTATTGTTTGTACAGATGAACGTGGTACCTTCAGGCGTTTGGAAATTGCTCCCAAGGATGAACCAGACTTGTGGAGGTCTACCATTTTTTTTCTGAGGTCTTGGCTGATTTCTTTAGATTTTCCCATGATGTCAAGCAAAGAGGCACTGAGTTTGAAGGTAGGCCTTGAAATACATCCACAGGTACACCTCCAATTGACTCAAATGATGTCAATTAGCCTATCAGAAGCTTCTAAAGCCATGACAACATTTTCTGGACTTTTCCAAGCTGTTTAAAGGCACAGTCAACTTTGTGTATGTAAACTTCTGACCCACTGGAATTGTGATACAGTGAATTATAAGTGAAATAATCTGTCTGTAAACAATTGTTGGAAAAATGACTTGTGTCATGCACAAAGTAGATGTCCTAACAAGACATTTGTGGAGTGGTTGAAAAACGAGTTTTAATGACACCAACCTAAGTGTATGTAAACTTCCGCCTTCAACTGTATTTAACACCTTGATCTTGTGGTTAGGCTAGTTACTGTCATTCTGGGTTTTACATAATTGTAACATTTAATTAAAAATTATAACATCATGAGAAATACATATGAAATATGTGGATTCACAAAATGAAGATCTGCAATTGTTCTGGACGGACACACCTCTTTCCAGAATGAGTAGTCTAATACCATTGTAATTATGAGAATCTCAAATGGTTACATTTCCTCTTGGATAAAACAACTTAGCAATAACAACAAGAGCCTTGATAAGGCCCTACTTGGACACTATGAATTTAAGTAATTGTTTATGGCACAAAGAAAACACCCCTCGATCACAGTGGAGCCCCAGTCTCGGGGTGGAGCGGACTTCTCAAGCCTGATCTGGCAGACCTCCCAGAGAGAGCTAATGAAATACAACCCACAGATTCTGATCCATTTCCTTCTTGGCTGTTTTTTTTTTTTATGGGGTTAAATGAAGTCCTGAGACAGTAGGGTATCCACAACCCTCAGTCAGGCATTCACAATACTTTCATAAATCATTCGCTCCCCCTTTCGCTCTGCTGCACCACTTGAAAAGCCGAAAATGTGTTATTTTGAACCGTTGACCCGGACGTGATTCTCAACCACTCATTAAAAAAGAGCGATAAAGGACTTTTCTTTTGTTCCCAGCGACGACATTCCTTCACTCTGGAAATGGGGGGATAAAATAATATCCTTGTTGTAGCTCGCAAAAGCACTGAAGCGTACACACTGCATCTTTATTTTCTGTATTGTTTAGACACAAAACTCCATTCTTGGAGCCAAAGCAAACCCTGGTCTTTGGTAGCACTCTGCATAACTAAGAAGGAATACAAACAAGATAGGCCAATATTCTAATGCAGATTCTGGGCAAAGGGAGACAACTAGGTGGGGTACAAGTAGAAAAGGGACCTAATTTGCCCTTTTGACACTGACTCGGCCTAAATTATTTTCCGTTTTTATGTCTGTTTATTTTCTTAAAGCATTCCACCTAGGAAAATCCCACGTCAAAAGCCTTGACAGACCATGGATTTCGATTAATAACTAGGAAATTAATCTCCGGCAAGAGGCTTTTGTGGGGGGGGAGCATGATTGAGTCATTCAAAGACAGGGGGTGCCTTGAACTTTAAGCCACCCTTGTTGGAAAGGGGTTGGGCGTGCGTCTGTTCGTGCGTTGGTAAGGGTTGGCAGCAAATGTGGTTAGGTCACTTTTTAGAAGTGGAACAGATCAAGTGATGCTAATGATGTTTGCTGGTGTGATCGTCTTCGACCCAAGATTAGGCTTTGACTAGTCCTCTGAAGCCTTGGTCTCATCGTGCATTGAGGAAAACTAGGGAAATCACCATGACTAGGCGTGGGTCTCAATACAATTCATTTCTTCCTCCCCTATCTACCATTACCACAAACAGGTGAAAGGTTTGGATAGGCTTTAAACCTAGTGATCATGGAGGAGAAAGGAAACCCTGTGACAGCAGCACAAAAGCAGTTAAAATGATTTGGACTTTATTTCTCTCCTCTTTGTGTGGCATTTGCCAAGCTTGTGAAGTCATTTACAGGTCAACCAAATGCCAGCAGCGATAAGCGAACCAACACAACACCGCCAACAGGGGAGTTGACCACATTCTATCTCAAATATTAGACCGCCCTCTGGCAGTTGATTTACATAATGCATTCTCCGAATGGCAGCTTGTTTTCCAAGGACGTTCTGCCTTTACAAAGCCGCATCCACAGAGCTATCGGGTTAGAAATGTTTGGGGAAGTGCACGGTGGGCCGGCGAGACCCCTGCAGACAGCAGCTGTAGATGGCTTTGTAAACATCCCATAACGAGCCAGCGATTAGGCCTACATTTTGGCTCTGTGGACATACAAGTATGAACTGGCCTTTAGTCATCTACCATTTAGCAATTGATACCTCAAAAAGACGTGGGGGGAGGGTGGCGCAACATGCAACAAAAAGACTGGTAGATACCCTTCAAGTTGTCTGTACTGAGAGGCAACAATCTGTATTGAGGAGGTAGTGGTCTGTATTGAGGAGGTAGTGGTCTGTATTGAGGAGGTAGTGGTCTGTACTGAGGTGGTAGTGGTCTGTACTGAGGTGGTAGTGGTCTGTACTGAGGTGGTAGTGGTCTGTATTGAGGAGGTAGTGGTCTGTACTGAGGTGGTAGTGGTCTGTATTGAGGAGGTAGTGGTCTGTACTGAGGTGGTAGTGGTCTGTATTGAGGTGGTAGTGGTCTGTACTGAGGTGGTAGTGGTCTGTACTGAGGTGGTAGTGGTCTGTACTGAGGTGGTAGTGGTCTGTACTGAGGTGGTAGTGGTCTGTACTGAGGTGGTAGTGGTCTGTATTGAGGTGGTAGTGGTCTGTATTGAGGAGGTAGTGGTCGTGCAACAGCTCCAAAGAACTAAGTCTTAATGATGAAAGAGGCATTCGATAAAATGATCAAATCTCCCCCGAATACCATCACCCCACTATCAGTGACAGCAGCCTAAACAAGCACACATGTATGAAGACAACAGCACGCAAATATTAAAAGATGAACGCGCATGAAGGTGCACACACACAAAACAAGAGGCACACACTGATACAGGTATGTACACACACACAAACATTTCCATGACGACCAAGACAGTCAACTCACCCATATCCTGCGTGTTCTCGGCTTCGGCAGTCTCCGTCCCGTCCATGCTGTCTTCATCCTCAGCCTGGGCTCGGCCTCTGCTACGGCCCCTGAGACACACAGGGAGAGGAAACAGTCACTGATCTGATCTGCCTTTCAGGCTCTGCTCAAGGAGGAGCAATATTGTTACTCAGGTCTGCCTCACCGAATGAGGATGAACAGTATTACAGGCATCAACAACAGGTAAACAGCCTTCGAGTTCAACATCATAGAAATTTACGAAAAAAATAAGTCTGCAAGCTTTGTTGCAAGAGGAACAGCCCGTGAAGTCAGTGTGGCAGAGACAAACAGCTTGTAAAGTCAGTGTGGCAAAGAGGAACAGCCCGTAAAGTCAGTGTGACTGCAAGAATCCCAAACAGATATAGTAATTAAAATCACTTTGAGCTGATTTCAGTCATTTATGCCAAAAGTAAAAGATGCAAAAACGGGAAGCATAGAAATAGCGAACATAGAACAGATCTACCGCTTCTTAAACTTGCATTCAATGAGAATTACATATCTATAAGTCAAATTTTTATGTGAATTTGGTCAGGTCACCCAAAAAGTGACATATTCATCTTAAAATAAATAAATATATATAAAAACACACACACACACACACACCCCCCCCACCGGTCAAAAGTTTTAGAACACCTACTCATTCAAGGGTTTTTCTATATTTTACTACTTTCTACATTGTAGAATAATAGTGAATACATCAAACTATGAAATAACACATATGGAATCATGTAGTAACCAAAACAGTGTAAAACAAATCAAAATATATTTCATATTTGAGATTCTTCAAATATCCACCTTTTGCCTTGACAGCTTTGCACACTGTATTCTCTCAACCAGCTTCATGAGGTAGTTACCTGGAAAGCATTTCAATTAACAGGTGTGCCTTCTTAAAAGTTAATTTGGGGAATTTCTTTCCTTCTAAATGCGTTTGAGCGAATCAGTTGTGTTGTGACCAGGTGGGGGGGGGGGGGGGGGGGTATACAGAAGAAAGCCCTATTTGGTAAAAGATAAAATCCATATTATGGCAAGAACAGCTCAAATAAGCAAAGAGAAACGACAGTCCATCATTACTTTAAGACATGACGGTCAGTCAATATGGATCATTTCAAGAACTTTGAAAGTTTCTTCAAGTGCAGTCGCAAAAACCAGCAAGCGCTATGATGAAACTGGCTCTCATGAGGACTGCTACAGGAATGGAAGACCCAGAGTTACCTCTGCTGCAGAGGATAAGTTCATTAGAGTTACCAGCCTCAGAAATTGCAGCCCATAAAAATGCTTCACAGAGTTCAAGTAACAGACACATTAACATCCACTGTTCAGAGGAGACTTCATGGTCGAATTGTCCAAATTGGAGATTTTTGGTTCCAACCGCCATGTCTTTGTGAGACGCGGTGTGGGTGAACGGATGATCTCCGCATGTGTATTTCCCACCGTAAAGCATTGAGGAGGTGGTGTGATGGTGTGGGGGTGCTTTGCTGGTGACACTGTCTGTGATTTATTTAGAATTCAAGGCACACTTAACCAGCATGGCTACCACAGCATTCTGCAGCAATATGCCATCCCATCTGGTTTGGGCTTAGTGGGACAATAATTTGTTTTCAACAGGACAATAATAATAATAATAAGCCATTTAGCAGACGCTTTTATCCAAAGCGACTTAGTCATGTGCACATACATTTTTACGTATGGGTGGTCCCGGGGATCGAACCCACTACCCTGGCGTTACAAGCGCCATGCTCTACCAATTGAGCTACAGAGGACCACAAGCCTCCTGGCTGTGTAAGGGCTATTCGACCAAGAAGGAGAGTGATGGAGTGCTGCATCAGATGACCTGGCCTCCACAATCCCCCGACCTCAACCAAATTGAGATGGTTTGGGATGAGTCAGACCGCAGTGAAGGAAAAGCAGCCAACAAGTGCTCAGCATATGTGGGAACTCCTTCAAAACTGTTGGAAAAGCATTCCAGGTGAAGCTGGTTGAGAGAATTCCAAGAGTGTGCAAAGCTGTCATCAAGGCAAAGGGTGGCTATTTGAAGAATCTCAAATATAAAATATATTTTGATTTGGTTACTACATGATTCCATATGTGTTATTTCATAGTTTTGATATCTTCACTATTATTCTACAAATGTAAAAAATTGTACAAATAAAGAAAAACCCTTGAATGAATGAGTGTTCTAAAACTTTTGACCGGTAGTGTATATATTTTCAAAGCCCTTTAAAAAACAGGATACTTGTTGCCAATAACTTCATCTCAAATTTGGACTCCAGCGAAAGCTCCCTCCGTGTTTGTTTCAGTAACATTTCATTTGTTAGTGTGCCGGACCAAGGTTTGTTTCTGTTCACTTCTCTCTGCGTCTCTCTGGAGCACTGAGCAGTGGAGTCCACAGCTCACCACTCCCCTTCCCTCCCGGTCTGTAATAGGCCTAACCAACACTGTCAACACTGGTGTTACAGACTGACACATAGCAGCCAAATGGGACGCATCGCTCCACCCACGGCTACAGCTCAGCTGCTGGTGACCGGTCGAGCTTCTTACTATCGAGGCCCGAGCTGCAAGCCCAGCAAAAGTACATTTATAGGAAAGCAAAGATTGGGAAACAATGAAAATAAGCTAATACTTGCAATAACAGGGAATAATTGTTTGAAATAAGTTTAGTAAGTAGACACGCCACAACAGTCTCAGGGTCTGTGTAAAATATAAAGATGAAAGATCAAATCTAAATTATTCCACTAGCAGTGACCATAACATTTCCAGCAACTATTGCAATTACAGCCCAAAATCCTTTCTAAACAGTGACTACAAGATGTTTTGTGACAGGCTAATTCTTCAGAAAAAGTCTAAATAACAGTGAAAGAAATTGACACTTGACCGAATTTTCTACATGATTCCCACATGAACCGGGAGAGAGGGGTTTGGTGCCCATATCAGTTCCCTTTACCAAGCAAACCCAGTGTCATGAACCCTGTGGTGGTAGCAGACCGAACATGCAATGGAAACCAGGGCACCAAACCAGGACATCCAAAACAAGCCCCTGGAGTGGAGAGGGGGATAGGACTGGGCAGAGGACTAGGGCGAGAAAGCTGGAGGGAGAGAAAAAACACACACACACACACACACACACACACACACACACCTCTGTCTAGTTCTGAAAACTTGGCTGGACTATCTAGAACAGCTCATGCGTGGTGGGTCTGTGCAAATGAAGCTTCTAAAAAGCTCTGGCACTTTCTGGCTCTCGCTCGCTCCCTCTCGCTCGCTCTGTGTTGCACAAGAACAAAGAGGTGCTATTCAGAGTACTGACCAGTGTGGCTCACTAAACTCAAAGCCTACAACCCGGGCCAAAAGGGCCTTATCCTTTAGATCACGTGTCTACAGGTTTTCACTCCACATTTGTACTCGATTGATTAATTAAGGTCACTAATTAGTAAAGAACTCCCCTCACCTGGTTGTCTAGGTCTTAATTGAAAGGAAACACCAAAAACCTGCAGACACTCGGCCCGCTGTGGAATGAATTTGACACACCTGCTTTAGAAGGACTAGCCTAGATGTAGACCGATTCAGAACACTATGACTAAGCCTGAGCTGGTCCAAATAACATAGGTTCTTTTGAAGCAGCCTAACCACCATAAAGCAAAAGCAGAATCAGAAACCGGGACATTCACGTCAAAGGAAGACATTTCCTGGCTTGTGCTCAGTGGAAGAAAAAAAAACATTCCAGCAATGCAATAAGCTGTTTCAAAGGCAAAACTCATTGGACGGCAAAAGCAACAACTAGCGGCCTCGAAAGTAAACCACCCAAACATAAGGTTTGTGGTGGGAAATATTGGGTTTCCACTGCAAACAATCGTGAGGCTTTGCAGCCTATTCTCCCTGGCACGATGCAGTGGCGAGGTCAGGGGCTGAGGCATCGGGTGACCAGGGTTGGGTTTCTGGGATGCAGACGGACAACGCTATTGACGCTGCCGTCGGCAACCGAATCCCAGTGCTCTGATCAATGACCTACATCATTGAAAATGCAAGGCCATTGTGGCCTGGAACTGGTTTAATCCAGGTCTCCCTTCCACACCAAGCATAGTAACTAGTAGCATTACCCACTGTTCAGCATTTTTCATACAGCCTGCACTGCATGGTACTGGTTTTACTTGTCAGAGATTCATGCCAACCGCAAACACCAAGTCTACGACTCCTCTAAAATGGCTGATGGCAACCAACATACCTGTTTAGGTTTTGAGCAACACTCTGGTGTTGCTATGGTTGACATGGTCACTGCACAACATTCTCAGTTATACTCAGGAAGGTTGTCTCCACAGCAGGTAGATTTAGTTAAGTTAGTTGAGAATGCTTTGTAATGTTTCTAAAACAATAAAATGTATTACTAGTTAGAAGTAATGCTTAAAATGTAAAGTAATGTTTAATATTTCATTTACATTTTTTGTGAACAGTCTATAGGCTATATAGGATTCATAGTTCTTTGACTTTGTGCGATGAATGTACCTGCTATGAAACAAAAACGCACTGTGGCTGGTGAAATAGACATTTTACAATAACAAAATCTGACGGGTGGCGGGTGTTAATTTTAGGTTGTCTCCAAATCTGTCCCAAACAGATTAAGTAAAAGGACTTATTGGTGGAAGTGGAATGGTGGAAGCCAGACCAGACCTTTAAGTCATGAAGGAAAATATATGAGGAAGGGAAGGTTTTCTAGGGTACTTATTTTAGCAATATGTTGGACATGAATGACAGTTCAGGAGGTGGTGGAGCTGCGGCTGCCCATAGAATGGATCACACTTGAGGGATTTCCAATTGACAGTTTAAGTTAGCGGTTACTGTTTTGTTTTTCCAATGGTGGTGGAACAGTGGTCCATTTTAACCCCTGGCTAGAACAGCAACCATGTCAAGTAACCCATGTTTGCAAAAAGAATGCAAGGACCCTTATCTTAAGTCACAAGAAACATATCGGTCAATGTATGCAACCACCAGACAATTAATGTTCTAGTGTCAAGTGACTGACAAGAAGACTGATATAAAAAATACAAATAAAAAAGCCTCTCAACGTCCTCGTAGGGATTCGTTGGGTAATCCATGCATGAAGCCAAACAATGCCCAACGCCACGAGAAGAAAAACAGAAGTACAGTGATGCTTACTGTTAGACAGGCACTGCACAATACATCTTATCATGGCTATGTTGACTTCCCACTTCCAAGAATCCACGGGTTTTGCCAAGCGGGGGTACCTAAATGGATTTTACATGTACCCGTTGTAACTCCCATACATCACAGAGGTAAACAAGTGATGAAATGTTGGCTAATGAGTAACCCGAAGGCAGATAAGGCAGGGAAGGCAGATCCTTCCACATGCTGCAGTCCGGTCTGAGATTAAAAGGTGACACTCGCACAGAAAAACGGCCAAAAGAAATATCCTTCATCCCCTCTACAGCGACAATCCTCAATAAGGCTATGGTAAACTGACATGTAAATGCTCAATGTGTGTGTTTCTATGTCTGTTTTACCCTCTTTTCAATGCCAAAAGCCCCAAAGAATTGTCAATTTTGTGCAAACCTATTGAACAATACCATTTTTCTAACCACCCGCTAGTCAGAGAGACAAGAGGGGGTGAGGATGGTCCCAAAGAGATGGCCCAGCCCAAGGGGACCGGTGTAGCATCCATCTCTCGGTCATATGGCCCAAGAGGAACTCTTAGAAAACTGTCATGTTACAGTCTTACAGGAGTAGGCTTGTCATCGTCATCATCAGCCACCTTTACCCCAATATGGGTCAATGTAGTGTTCATAAAGTAGAGGCATTTTACAATTTTCTAAGTTCAGGCTACCGTTAGTCTTATTCTGCTAATAATTCAAATTAATATTTACTGGTTCACATAAACAGAGCCCCCCCACAGAAACACCAATACAGGACCAAGCAAAGTGCTACTCTTGTTTATTGCAATTCCATGCAATCTTTCACATTTGCACCACTCAAAAGCATGTGGTATTGAACAAAAACAGAAATATGATTTTGAAGTTTAGTTTTTATTGTTTTTTTACACACATCCAGAAACTTAAGGCCACAATTCTACTACAGTGAGAAACTGAGCAGGTAGTGGTGGACAGAGAGAGGGAGAGAGAAAGAGAGGCAAAAAAAATAATATGCTGTTGTTGCAAGTAGTTCCAGCTCCTAAGGCAGTGGCGAAATCCTGGCATGGACTTCCTGGCTGGGCTGGGGCACACCCCCTTCTCATTAGCGCTGATGTTTCCCAGCATGCCATTTAATCATTTCCTCTCCATTTTTACATTTCCAAGCAATTGGCTAAACCAGATTCAAACAAACGCAATGCTAGGTGCTAGAAACCTCTGATATGCTGACTCATCACAGGACATTCCTTCTTCCCTCCAACCAAAAGCAAACAACGGTCAATTAAATGTACCTTCAACCTATTCATTACCTGCAAGAGCAGTATTGCAAATAAGTAGTCCTAGGATTTTTGTTTAAACTCCTGCTCAGAAACTAGGTTGAGATCTGGCAACCACAAAAACTACTACTGTGCACTACTGCGACACAGAGGCATAGAGACATAGCTCACGTTTGTCAGTGTGAGTTTGTCAGACAGCTAAAGTACAACAAACACTGCCTCGACAGCAGGAGGATATCTAACTGTGCTTGTGAGAGAGCATGGAGGTTTTTTAGGCTAACATCAATGGCGACTAGGTCTGACCACTAAAGGGACCAAATGTAATGTGGCTATTGTATTGATACATCCATAAGGCCAAGATATTGAATGTGTATTAAGCCCCTTATACAATACAGTAACGGTAGACCCAGGAACAACCAGGGTTCCTTGTCTGGTGTATTTTGAGATTTACTAAATCACATTCTTTGATAGCCATCAACTAACTGCATTCCACCCCTATTTCACTGCTGACATGAGTCCATGCCACCAATTACGTTTAAGAAATACTAATGCTCTGGTATACCTTTCAAAATTATAAGGAGCCATTGGTGTCCATATTGCAAATAAGTATCTCTGTCAAAGCTATTTGTAATGCACCCTCATGATTGACAGCTGTTCCGAACAAACCATGCCAGCCATTTAGACGGTCAGGTAACAGTTTTGGTGATTCACTGCCCAGACCCCTTGGGCATTGCCGTGACAGGAGAAATGAACACATGCAGCAGCCATTAGGTTATGCAAGCAGTCTCAAGGAGGTACTCTAAGCTCTTGCAGTCTTTGTAAAAAAATATATTTAAAACCGAGACACTTCAGTGACACAAGCACAGTGGGTCTAGGGACAAGCTTGCCTTCAAAAAAAGATAGGGGCTATGAGGAGGAAGAGGGAAGCGAAGCCTTGGCAGAAAAATTGTGCAATTTCCTCTGAAAAAGGGTTCTTCTAGATAGAAATCAAGCTTGGTCATTTCTGACATAAAAAGAAAGGTATGAGTTGCAAAAGGCCAAGGCAATAATTCAGATAAAGATTGAGCCCTATAACTCATTGTTATTCAAGGATACGTTGTTTATTCCCCATCTGGGGCGTATTACTATCACCTCTGTGTGAGCGTGTATTTGTTTCACACGCACCCACACCCACACCCACGCTCCATGCCCGCCCACACACACACACACACACACACCCCTTGTGAAGAAAAACAAGGACTACCTGGAACAGAGCCTCTAGGAAGTGGCAGACAGATCACATAACAGCAGTAACACCATACAGCGGCGCGTATACATTACACTGTATGTATAGAAGAATGCTAATGGACAAACAGGCAAGGAGCACAGTGTCACCCATACACACATTTTCCAGGAAGTCAGTGATGACATCATTTGAACACGAGCCATGCATTTATGGTCCATAATCAGCCAGGTGACATTCTGACTAGGCCAACCAAGCTGTCCTGAGTTTTCAATAGCACTAAGTAGCGCCGAGGCGTTTAAAAAAGGCACAATATGGGATATTTCCAGCTGTCCAATGGCAATTTCAAATAATATACATAATAAATACCTTAGAAATACCTCATTAGCTTAGTACAGCTGTCGGACCCAATCATTACTATGACTGTCGGTTGCATCCATAGCTCATGAATTTGAGTGTGGTTACATTTCTCCAGCCCCATCCCTCAGCTTTATACCAAACCAAGTGACGGGGCAAAAATAACTTTAGGATTGCGGACTTTCAGTCGGATTTTCCATCCAATACTATGCATCTGAAGGGCTATAGGCAACAAACTGAAAATACAGAAAGGCCGTTAAGCAGTCACCACCATGGCAGAGTACATATGGTGTTACCGTGCATATAGCCAGCAGCTCGTCGGCCCTGTGGTGTTACTACCTGCGGTGTCAGTTGCCATGCTAATCTGGCCTATTTCAGCAGAGTGTGTATTTGAGGAACGTTAGTTACTCAATCTCAAAGCGAATGCCCCAGTGTTCCCCTGTGCGAGGCAGCTACAGTGCCTTCAGAAAGTATTCACACCCCTTGACTTATTCCACATTTTGTTGTTACAGCCTTAAATTCAAAATGTATTAAATATATTTTCTCACCCATCTACACACAATACCCCATAATGACAAAGTGAAAACGTTTTTCAAAATGTTCCCAAATGTATTGAAAAATTAAATACAGAATTATCTCACTTACATAAGTATTCATAGCCCTGAGTCAATACTTTGTAACAACACCTTTGGCAGCGATTACAGCTGTGAGTCTTTCTGAGTAAGTCTCTAAGAGATTTCCACACCTGGATTGTACAACATATGCCCATTATTATTTTCAAAATTCTTCAAGCTCTGTCAAATTGGTTGTTGATCATCGCTAGACAACCATTTAAGTCTTGCCATAGATCTTCAAGTAGATTTAAGTCAAAACTGTAACTCGGCCACTCAGGAACATTCACCGTCTTCTTGGTAAGCCCCTCCAGTTTAGATTTGGCCTTGTGTTTTAGGTTATTGTCATTCTGAAAGGTGAATTAATCTCCCAGTGTCTGGTGGAAAGCAGACTGAACCTGGTTTTCCCTCTAGGATTTTGCCTGTGCTTAGCTCCATTCCGTTTCTTTTTTATCCTGAAAAATTCCCCTTAATGATTACAAGCATACCTATAACATGATGCAGCCACCACTATGCTTGAAAATATGGATTGTGGTACTCAGTAATGTGTTTAATTTGCCCCAAACATAACACTTTGTATTCAGGACAAAAAGTGAATTGCTTTGCTACATTTTTTGCAGCATTACTTTAGTTCCTTGTTGCAAACTGGATGCATGTTTTGGAATATTTTTATTCTGTACAGGAATCCTTCTTTTCACACTGTCAATTAGGTTAGTATTGTGGAGTAACTACAATGTTGTTGATCCATCCTCCGTTTTCTCCTATCACAGCCATTAAACTCTGTAACTGTTTTAAAGTCATCATGGTGAAATCCCTGAGTGATTTCCTTCCTCTCCGGCAACTGAGTTAGGAAGGACGCCTGTATCTTTGTAGCGACTGGGTGTATTGGTACACCATCCAAAGTGTAATTAATAACTCCACCATGCTCAAAGGGATATTCAAAGTCTGCTTTTTCTATTTTTACCCATCTAGCAATAGGTACCCTTCTTTGCGAGGCATTGGAAAACCTCCCTGGTCTTGGTGGTTGAATCTGTGTTTGAAATTCACTGCTCGACTGAGGGACCTTACATATAATTGTATGTGTTGGGTAAAGAGAAGAAGTAGTCATTCAAAAATCACGTTAAAACACTAATATTGCACACAGAGGGAGTCCATGCAACTTATTATGTGACTTGTTAAGCACATTTTTACTCCTGAACTTAGAGGCATGCAATAACAAAGGGGTTGAATACTTATTGACTCAATACATTTGAGCTTTTCATTTATTAATTGGTAAACATTTCTAAAAACGTCATTCTACTTTGACATTAAGCACACTGATTAAATAATTAAGACACACAAATGACCAGAGGGAGTCCGACCAGCAATTGATTTGATTGTGCCGGGCCAGGCTCAGACCTGCTGCGCTGTGTAAAAAATAGAAAGACAGCGAGTGACTGTGACTAGCACCCATTGTCTCTCTCTCCTTCCTGCTGCAGCGTCCATCACAGAACATCAAAGTGTTTATCACGCTGTCCGTGTTGCTGAAGCTGCAACATAATTACAGCCATTTCTGACAGAAGTTCTGTTACGTGACACGTATGCATTCGCACGGGACTAGTTTTACTTGAGAACGTTGGTTTTGTAAAATATTACTCCAGAATGTCTGTTATTCCAGCGGACGATTCAGACAGGATTAGTTTTTTTCCCCCAAACTGCACCCTGTGATCATTATTTTTAAATAAATGGACAGTTATGCCGGAAGCCTGGAGGTTTTTATTCTAGGCATGAAGATACAGTATTTCAACATGTCCAGGTGATAGGGCCACACTGACAGCTCGAGCTTGGTTCCCAAGATTCTAAACCATACCAAACCATCTTCGGTATAGTGTCGCCATAATATTTGAATTGAAGAAGTATGATCATAATCATTAGGATATTTTAGCGACCTAAATGCCCCCCAGCCTTCAGAGGTGAGCTAAACAGTGCAATTGAGATGCGTTTTAAGGCTATGGATGAGAAATTTAACTTATCATTTCCAAACGTTTAGGTCAGTTGAACGCTGCTTTGCGATCTATTAACAGCAAAGGTTGCATTATTAGGCTCAATATTTTTTACTGATACATTTGGCAATATTCCATTCATACACACAAAACTTATAAACAAAAGCATTCACTGTGAAAGTTGATAGGCTACATGTAGGCGATTCATATATAGCTTATGCACAGCACTTAGTTCAATTTATCGAATCAGTTATTGTTTTCTTGGGCAAACCGCGAGCAACACCTAACAAACAGACATTTCTCTCAAAACAGAGGGATGTCGACTCGCACGGGACTAGTATTATCAGAGGACATTGGAGTTCCCCCCAAAAAACAGTAGGTTATTCTGGCTGGAATTGTTACTCTCCTGCGATGTAAAAATTACTGACATGGCAGATTCGGACAGGACTAAAATGTAGATGTAGTGTTTTGTGCTCGTACACATAAATTACATGAACCGACCTCCCCCAGTAAAACAAATCCTGTCTGAATAGGGCACAATAGGGCCTGACCTATAGCTTATCATAATCACATCAATAAATAGGTTATAACAAACTCTGAAAACCGTAAACACGTGACAGGTAAATGAATGCTGAGGACGTGACAAAAACTCGAAAACGGGGGAATGTTTACTGGTTGCTCAGGAGGTAAAGGGAAAGTCAGATGTGTGGAATAAATTTGACAAGTTGTGGAAAATACTGGAGATCTTTTTCTTGAAGGTAAGGAGCAAGCGCTGCGTAAATATTATGTGTGCCAAACAGGTACTGTGTAGATACAAATATAATTTCTGTCCTTTTTAGAACAATGTAAACACTAAATAAGTAAGCATACCAGAGAGTCTGTTGTACTGTTTTTTTGTTAAGCCTTTATTACAGCAAAGACTAAAAACAGTCGTATTCATTCGTGAACGCAATTTCCGAAATGGAACCATTTATTTATTTATTGTTTAAGCTAATTATTCAAGGCTCGCTTTATTTTTAAACTAAAAATGCTTGATTGCATTTCAAATCATTAATGACTCATATGCTGTGTAAGGACATGAACAACGAATGAATGATTGATTCAGTAGCCTATATAAGTATTAAAATATAGGCCTAAGTAAGTTACGATATTAAGACTAAACAGGATGTGCTCTTAGGCCTACAGCTCAATTGTGGTTATACAAGGCTGCTATACTAAGCCTACTAATGATAATGACATTACTTATGATCATCATAATAATAATAATAATAACAACAACAACGAGATCAAGAAAAAGGTGCGTTATTATTATAAATATTATTTTTCGGACAATTTGGAACAGTGTAAACACTAAATTAGAACTAATACCAGAGAGGCTGCTCTATCGAAACAAAGTGTAAAGCCTTTAGAGCAAAGATTACAAACAGCTACATTTGTGAAATTGTTTACTTGACATGTGGCGTGAGGCTTGGTGCTCACGGAATCAGTATGCTATTAAACAAACACTCAAACTGGCAACAGAAGCAGGATCTGTCTTATTTCTGTAGATGTACACTACCAGTCAAAAGTTTGGACACACCTACTCATTCAAGGGTTTTTCTTTATTCTTACTATTTTTAACATTGTAGAATAATAGTGAAGACATCAACACTATGAAATAACACATATGGAATCATGTAGTCCCGTGTAGCTCAGTTGGTAGAGCATGGCACTTGCAACGCCAGGGTTGTGGGTTCGATTCCCACGGGGGGCCAGTATGAAAATGTATGCACTCACTAACTGTATGTCGCTCTGGATAAGAGTGTCTGCTAAATGACTAAAATGTAAAAAAAATGTAAATGTAGTAACCAAAAAAAGTGTTAAATCAAAATATTTTATATTTGAGATTCTTCAAATAGCCACCCTTTGCCTTGACAGCTTTGCACACTCTTGGCATTATCTCAACCAGCTTAATGAGGTAGTCACCTGGAATGCATTTCAATTAACAGGTGTGCCTTCTTAAAAAGTTAATTTGTGGAATTTCTTTCCTTCTTAATGCGTTTGAGCAAATCAGTTGTGTTGTGACAAGGTAGGGTTGGTATACAGAAGATAGCCCTATTTGGTAAAAGACCAAGTCCATATTATGACAAGAACAGCTCAAATAAGCAAAGAGAAACGACAGTCCATCATTACTTTAAGACATGAAGGTCAGTCAATACGGAACATTTCAAGAACTTTGAAAGTTTCTCCAAGTGCAGTCACAAAAACCCATCAAGCGCTATGATGAAACTGGCTCTCATGAGGACCGCAACAGGAATGGAAGACCCAGAGTTACCTCTGCTGCAGAGGATAAGTTCATTAGAGTTACCAGCTTCAGAAATTGCAGCCAAAATAAATGCTTCAGAGTTTAAGTAACATACATCAACTGTTCCGAGGGGACTGTGTGAATGATGTGAATGAGTATTAGCAATTCAAAATAAAAATAAATGGTCTGCTTGGAAAGAAATGGCAAGATTACTGAAGAATTGCATGAGTTGAGTAAGTAATAAACCTGAACCAGCCAGAGACATCTGTCGGTAGACTTTAAGGCATTTTTATCCACTACGATAATAATTAATTCTACCTTTACAACTCACAACCACCCAAAATGCAGATTCCCCCCACCCCCAAAAACAATCAAACTGCTTAGTAAAATACATCCAGTAGAACATCATAAGACTTGCCAAATGCCACAGGTCCCAATGAAACCACAGAGGGCGACACCATTAGCCAAGGCGTCAACCCTCAGTACATGCATAACAACTAAGCATCACACCAAGGTTAGAGCGCAGAGGGACCTACTTCTTTTTGGGTGTGGGTATGCCGGATCCTGCATCCTTACGAGGCCGGCCGCGGGGGCGCTTGTCTGTGGGGGCAGGGGAGGGGCTGTCTGAGGGGGTGCTGCTCAGGGGAGTAGACGGTCCGTAGTCAGATGGATCCAGGCTCTTGTCCTCTGATGACATTCTGAGGACCAGGATGGAGAGCATGGGGGGGGGGGGGGGGGGGGGGGGGGAGAGATTACTTTATTTATTGAACCATGGACATCGGATTGGAGCTGCGGGTATACAAAATGTGTCTTGCTAGGTAAGATAACAATCAAATACCAAAGCAGATAAAAAGAAACCAAACAGGACGTTATTTTCTCTTAACACACAACCTGTATTGTAATGTGCCCTATTTGAGCACACCATGAGACAATGGACTTCTACTGAAATCCATCCACACACACTGCATTCTGAAAGTATTCAGACCCCTTCACTTTTTCAAAATTGTATTACATTTACAGCCTTATCCTAAAATGGATTACATTGTTGTTTTTTTCACCCTCATCAACCTACACACAATACCCCATAATGACAAAGCAAAGACAGGTTTTTAGATTTTGTATACACAAATAGACCGCTGCGCCACTCGGGAGGCCTAAGACACTGCAGTGCTTGAGGCGTCACTACAGATCAGAAAATGACATTTACATAAGTATTCAGAGCCTTTACTTAGGACTTTTGGCAGCGATTACAGCCTCGATTCTTCTTGGGTATGAAGCTACAAGCTTGGCACACCTGTATTTGGGGAGTTCCTCCCATTCTTCTCTGCAGATCCTCTCAAGCTCTGTCAGGATGGATGGGGAGCGTCGCTGCACAGCTATTTTCAGGTCTCTCCAGAGATGTTCGATCGGGTTCAAGTCCGGCCTCTGGCTGGGCCACTCAAGGACATTCAGAGACTTGTCCCGAAGCCACTCCTGCGTTGTCTTGGCTGTGTGCTTAGGGTCATTGACCTGTTGGAAGGTGAACCTTCGCCCCAGTCTGAGGTCCTGAGCAGGTTTTCATCAATGATCTCTGTACTTGGCTCCGTTCATCTTTCCCTTGATCCTGACTAGTCTTCCAGTCCCTGCCGCTGAAAAACATCCCCACAACATGATGCCGCCACCACCACGCTTCACCGTTGGGATGGTGCCAGGTTTCCTCCAGATGTGACACTTGGCATTCAGGCCAAAGAGTTCAATCTTGGTTTCATCAGACCAGAAAATCTTGTTTCTCATGGTCAGAGTCCTTTAGGTGCCTTTTGGAAAACTCTAAGCGGGCTGTCATGTGCCTTTTACTGAGGAATGGCTTCCGTCTGGCAACTCTACCATAAAGGCCTGATTGGTGGAGTGATGCAGAGATGGTTGTCCTTCTGGAAGGTTCTCCCATCCCCACAGAGGAACTCTGTCAGAGTGGCCATCGGGTTCTTGGTCACCTCCCTGACCAAGGCCCTTCTCCCCCGATTGCTGTTTGGCCAGCTCTAGGAAGAGCTCTTCTTCCATTAAATGAAGGAGGCCATTGTGTTCTTGGGGACCTTCAATGCTGCAGAAATGTGTTGGTACCCTTCCCCAGATCTGTGCCTTGACACGATCCTGTCTGGGAGCTCTACAGACAATTCCTTCCACCTCATGGCTTGGTTTTTGCTTTGACGTGCACTGTCAACTGTTGGACCTTATATAGACAGGTGTGTGCCTTTCCAAATCATGTCCAATCAATTGAATTTACCACAGATGGACTCCAATCAAGTTGTAGAAACATCTCAAGGATGATCAATGGAAACAGGATGCACCTGAGCTCAATTTCGAGTCTCATAGCAAAAGGTCTAAATACTTAAGTAAATAATTTATTTTTAATAAATTTGCAAACATTTCTAAAAACCTGTTTTCGCTTTGTCATTATGGGGTATTGCGTGTAGATTGATGAGGAAATTGATTTATTTAATCAATTTTAGTATAAGGCTGTAACGTAACAAAATGTGGAAAAAGTCAATGGGTCTGAATACTTTCCGAATGCACTGTATGTATGTATATATGTATGTATGTATGTATGTATGTATGCATGCATGCATGCATGCATGCATGCATGCATGCATGCACGTACACTACCGGTCAATAGTTAATACACCTACTCATTCAAGGGTTTTTCTTTATTTTTACTATTTTCTACATTGTAGAATAATAGTGAAGACATCACAACTATGAAATAACACACATGGAATCATGTAGTAACCAAAAAAGTGTTAAACAAATCAAAATATATTTTAGATTCTTCAAAGTAGCCACCCTTTGCCTTGATGACAGCTTTGCACACTTGGCAATCTCTCAACCAGCTTCATGAGGAATGGAATGCTTTTCCAACAGTCTTGAAGGCGTTCCCACATATGCTGGGCACTTGTTGGCTGCTTTTCTTTAACTCTGCAGTCCAACTCATCCCAAACCATCTAAATTGGGTTGAGGTCGGTTGATTGTGGAGGCCAGGTCATCTGATGCAGCACTCCATCACTCTCCTTCTTGGTCAAATAGCCCTTACACAGCCTGGAGGTGTGTTGGGTCATTATCCCATTGAAAAACAAATGATAGGCCCACTAAGCGCAAACCAGATGGGATATCGCTGCAGAATGCTGTGGTAGCCATGCTGGTTAAGTGTGCCTTGAATTCTAAATAAATCACTGACAGTGTCACCAGAAAGCACCCCCACACCATCACACTTCCTCCATGCTTCACGGTGGGAACCACACATGCGGAGATCATCCGTTCACCTACTCTGCGTCTCACAAAGAAACTGAGGTTGGAACCAAAAATCTCAAATTTGGACTCATCAGACCAAAGGACAGATTTCCACCGGTCTTATGTCCATTGCTCGTGTTTCTTTGCCCAAGCAAGTCTCTTCTTATTATTGGTGTCCTTTAGTAGCGGTTTCTCTGCAGCAATTCGACCATGAAGGCCTGATTCACGCAGTCTCCTCTTAACAGTTGATGTTGAGAACTTATCCTGTGCAGCAGAGGTAACTCTGGGTCTTCCTTTCCTGTGGCGGTCCTCATGAGAGCCAGTTTCCTTTTAGCGCTTGATGGTTTTGCTACTGCACTTGAAGAAACGTTCAAAGTTCTTCAAATTTTCCACATTGACTGACCTTCATGTCTTAAAGTAATGATGGACTGTCGTTTCTCTTTGCTTATTTGAGCTGTTCTTGCCATAATATGGACTTGGTCTTTTACCAAATAGGGCTATCTTCTGTATACCAACCCTACCTTGTCACAACACAACTGATTGGCTCAAACGCATGTAGAAGGGAAGAAATTCCACAAATTAACTTTTAACAAGGCGCACCTGTTAATTGAAAAGCATTCCAGGTGACTACCTCATGAAGCTGGTTGAGAGAAAGCCAAGAGTTTGCAAAGAGTGGCTATTTGAAGAATCTCAAATATAAAATATATGTATTTAACACTTTTGTTTACTACATGATTCCATGTGTTATTTCATAGTTTTGATTTCTTCACTATTATTCTACAATGTAGAAAATAGTAAAAATAAAGAAAAACCCTGGAATGAGTAGGTGTGTCCAAACTTTTGACTGGTACTATATATAAAATTGTCCACTAGTAGGCACATTGATATTGCCTACGAATGCCAAAATTTGATGACATAAGGATCTTTTCAATGCAACGCATCCCATTTCCTAACCCGCTTGGACCCGCGCTTGAGCCCAGCCATTCCACGTTTGCTCGATTCCACCACCAGCACACCTGATTCAACTAACCAAGAGCTTTTATTTTTTTTCAATTTTATTTCACCTTTATTTAACTAGGCAAGTCAGTTAAGAACAAATTCTTATTTACAATGACGGCCTACACCGGCCAAACCCAGACGACGCTGGGCCAATTGTGCACCGCCCTATGGGATTCCCAATCACGGCCGGTTGTGATACAGCCTGGAATCGAGCCAGGGGGTCTGTAGTGACGCCTCAAGCACTGAGATGCAGTTCCTTACATTTACATTTACGTCATTTAGCAGACGCTCTTATCCAGAGCGACTTACAAGTTGGCTTAGACCGCTGCGCCACTCGGGAGCCCGAGCTTGATGTTTAGTTGACTAGTTGAATCAGGCATGCTTGTGCAAAAGTTACAACACATCGTGTAACAACACAAAAGTTACACAACTCCACTTTCTTTCACATACCTCACAATGCAAAGCATGCAGAAACACAAAGGAGAGGGGCCAGGATGGCTGTCACTGTCACAGCACTCCCGCTCAACTTTGACTAGCAAATTAACTCTGTTTACCACCACTTAGGCCACCTACAACTACCACAGATTACAGCAGATCTAGTCTCCACTTCTAATAACTGAGAAAATGGCCAATAGCAACTACAACAACTGCTTGTTGAAAGGCACAACTGTACAGTGGACAGTCCAGTGTCGATTTAGCAGAGCTAAGGAAGAGGGGAAAGGAAGAAAGCAGGCCGTTGACTCATCTGTAATGTCGTCGAGACCAGCTGTGCGAAGCCTGGCATTGGGGGACCTCTCCGTGCTCTGCGTGGCAGCGCCGCTCTCTACTGCTTAAATTAATTTAGCCATTTTGTCAAGCACAGTCATGCTGGGGTGGAGAGAATAAAAAAATAAATAGCAGGGTCCCCTGCTGTGCGTTTGAACCAGCTTATTTTAATGTTGATTTAACCAGAGGGTTTTACTAGGTCTCGAATGCACTGTTAGAGGCAAGTTGCTGTTCAGCCTCACACCATCGCTGGGCAGACCACAAACATGAGCCTGCTTGAAGGGTAGGCTATTTGCCTATGGCACCAGAAACGGAAGTGGATATGTACACGTTTATGACTTGAGTGTTGGCATTTCAAAGTGTCCACCTCACATCACAGACCCATTCCCACTCCCAACAGCAAAATCTCTGGGACATCACTGAGCATAAAAACATGGGTTCCCACATTTAAGGACAGATACCCCCTTCAAAATGTGTGGATTCAGCTATTTCAGCCACACCAGTTGCTGACAGGTGTATAAAATCAAGCACACAGCCATGCAATCTCCATAGACAAACATTGGCAGTAGATTGGCCTTACTGAAGAGCTCAGTGACTTTCAACATGGCACCTTCATAGGATGCCACCTTTCCAACAAGTCAGTTCGTCAACTTTCTGCCCTGCTGGAGCTTCCCCGGTCAACTTTAAGTGCTGTTA